AACTTATTGCAACATTTCTGTGCAAACAACTGTTCTTACCAAGCCAGTATTTTAGAATCTCAACATAATCTTTGTAGACTGTTAGTTTTGTTCGAATTGCATCCGCCTCATCAATCGTACAAATTGCTTCCATCTGCAAATTTAGGCAGCAAATAGGATAAACAATTGAGGTGTTGGTCTCTTAACTTAAAGTCAGCATTAACGTAATCTATTATATTTGTAAAGAATAACAAATTGTTGTAGTTAAATACTGAACTGAGCACATCAATTAATAGCCTTAGTAAGAAGCGTTATTCTTTTGTAGAATTATCAACCACCAAAATAAGTTTTTAATTGGTATCTGTTTATAACTGTAATCGTAAATTTATCAGCTGTTATATTCAATGAATGAATTATTCTAAAATGTGCTGAAAACCTCAGTGAGTATGGTATCGGTCAAATTATCTAGATTCATTTCAATCCAATATAGTTCCAAATCTGAACGAAATGTAGCATCAAGTCGAATTTCTCTGACCAATTTTTCAACACAACCATAGCTTCGAAATGTTTTCTGCAAAAAAAAAAAAAAAACCGAAAGAAAATTGGTAATTAAAATTAAATATTCGCAGAAAAATTTCAAGTCTTAATATTACTTTTAACACTATAATGTTATTTGATTTTTTTTCCATTTAAAAACTAAACTGGCATTAGAAATCTGCTATATTTTAGCTGTTTGACAAACAAAAAAAAAGAAGGAAAAATGGTGAGATAAATTTTAGCATTATATTTTTTTTTGATTTTAACAAAAAGTTCTTAAGTTTATCAGTCTTAATTCATTTGCAACAAAAAAATTTGTTGTATTAAACTGTTTTTTTTTCTTTTCTTCAAAAGTTATGCAAATTAATTAGTTGAATAAAATGTTGGCAAAAAAAGTTTTTCTTTTCTTTTGTTGTTAGTAAAAAATATTTAGAAAAGTTATACTTACTGTTTGATAATGTTGCGCTAAAGATAATTTTGGCTGTAATATCACGAAAGCAAACAGAATTGAAACTAAGCTGAACATTTGAACAGTTCAATTCCAGTTGATAGATCGACCTCCAAACCTGTTGTTTGGGCTATCAACAGAAATTGTTCAACAACAAATCTGAACAAATAGATACTTTACTGTACTGTACCATCACCACCATCCAACAAATATGCAACTGAAGAAGGATATCGATAGCACATCGACAACAAACACTTAGCACATTGATCAATGAATAAAGTTACGCTAAATTTGTTGATCCCTTTTCCTCAACTTTGTGCTAATAAACTTTTTCTTCTATTGAACTGTATTTTTAATTTTTGATTTTTTTTATTTTTGTTTTGGAAACAATATTCTATTCTGTTTTCGGTTTTTTTTTTACTGAAATTAAGAGAGAAATTTTGTTTTTTTTTTTTTTTTTGAAACCTTATAGCGTCAGTGAACAAATTTAGTTAGTCTAACAATTTTTGGTGTAAATAATCGAATTTTTAGATGACAAACATCTTATAAATAAATAAATATTGTTTAGTCTGGAAAAATAATTTTTCTACTTTTTGTTCCTAATCAGTGGAACAAATATTTTCAGATAGAAAAGATCAAGTGTAACCAAAAACTAAGTTAAGATTTGTTAAGTGTCATCATTTCTCTTCTTTTTCTTACTTTTTATAAGCCTTGTTTTTACAGTTTTGTTGCTAGAAAAAAAAAAAAAAAAAGAAGAAAACAAAGGTTTGTTCTT